GCAGAGCAAAGAGACTTTTTTTTTTTTTTTTTGCTTGTTGCTCTTTAGATGCTATCTACGGTGAAGATTTAAATTAATATTGCTAGTTATATGCTCTACATATTATGGTTTTATAGAGTGTTGTCTTGGTTGCTAGCTACTTTAGATGCTGGGGTTAAGCAAATTGTTGTCTTAGCCACCAACCACATTAGTAGTATAAGCTCTAACTTTTTGGCTTTTTTCTCCCCATTTCCTCTTCGGAAAACTGTTTCTCGGGTAGATGTGATGTGCTATGCTGCTAGGTTAAATTACCCTAGATGTTGTTTAGCCCATTAATCCCAAGAATGCATTTATACCCCTCTTTATACCTCTCTTTTCATTATTGACTCACTCACATATGGTTATAGACTGCTTACTTACCAACTGAATGGTGTAAGACCGGAATCCTGAGTCTTAGGAGTAGATTTGAAAAGACCTAGAAGGTCTTTCTCCTGCTCCCCCATATACTCTTGGTTTAACACATGTCACTCTTTCAAGTGAAATTCAGGTGGTAATTTATGTGCATCGAGTGCCCTCCTCTCTACTTTTAAAATGATCAACTATTCTGTGAAAGGCAATATATTGCCAAATGTTGTTACAAATGAGTTTATAAATAGGAATGTGGCTGCTGAGCAGAAGAACCTGTGGTCTTCAGTTGAACCATCACCATCTCCTAGAATAAGCACAGTGGATAAAGGATTCCATCTGGACTGACTTGCAGTTCGCTGGACTTCGTAATAACTTTCCTGGGGTATATGTTCTTTCAAAATACTTAAAGCCATTTCCTGAGATACAGCTAGAGCAGTGATGCAAGTTGGGTTCTCCTTCCTCTCACTAGACCAGAGAACCTTTGGTAGGAAAATAGATCATCTGTAACTTTTCTTTTAAAGATTATTTATTTGAGAGAGAGAGAGAGAGAGAGCATAAACGGGGGGAGGGGCAGAGTTAGAGGGAGAGGGGAAGCCGATTCCGAGCTGAGCATGGAGCCCGTCATGGGGATCGAACTCACAAGCCTGAGATCATGACCTGAGCTGAAACCAAGAGCAGATCACTCAACCGAATGAGCCACCCAGGCGCACAGGACATCTGTAACTTTTAACTATTGGCTGAAAGTTAAATATTAATATAAGATCTGGTAAATTTAAATTTAGAGACTAAAAGTAAGGGTTATGTTTCCATGCTAAGAACCATCATATTTGATTCTTTGATAAGCAAATTAAAAATCTCTAAACAGGATCCACCCATTTTGGAGAGTTTTAAGTAAATATGTATTGGTAATGACATCTTTGTACTTAAATTTCATGATATGACACCATTAATTTTTTTAACTGTGGAAGAGGGATTACATTAAATAAAAAAACAGGTATAGAATTTGCATGCCAGTAACTTCAGATGTTTAAGAATAAAGTGCAATTAGTATGGCTTTAAATTTGACCAATTAAATTCTGCAGAACATCTGCATATCTCCAGGGGACATGGACACTAAGTTATTAGAATTTTGTTTTTGATTAGGCATCTCTGACTGGCCATGTGCACATTTTATGTTTTTAGTTATAAACTGTAAGTCTTTAGATTTGAAAACATAGTGATTTTTTGTAACTGGATGTAATTATTCCCAACAGGCTTTGAATCAACTTCTTAGCAATGTTTTACAGATTACTTTACAAGATTTATTTTGTTTTACAGATTACTTTAAAAGAAGCTGTATATAAGAGGCTTAATCATATAAAAAGATTCTAAACTCAATCATTTTTCTTTTTGACTTAGTTTAGATTATTTCTACTTGATCTGTATTTTCTACTTTCTAAAGCTAAAAGCTGCATTTTCCTTAGTGCCAAAGTATGTGTTTCAAAATCCATCCTAAGTTAGGTGCATTGGTTTAGAGTTACCCTGTTGCTACTGATTTAAAAAGAAAAAGAAAAAAAATCTGTGAATCTGCCAAGTGTGGGGGTAAAAGTTGGAAGGGGACTTTTATGCTGTTGGAGGGAGATAGATCAGCATTGTCAGAAGATTTGGAATAGATTACTGGTATAGTCAGTTCTTGAGTGTGAAATACCACACTGTCTAATAGAACATTTTAGAAGAAAATTAATAAAAGATGAATGCAAGGAAAAATGTATCTTCATGAAATATAGAGTAATTTCAGCTGTTTATTCAAGGACTTTAATTTTTACTTCATAAAAATTAGTGTTCTGAAATTTTATGAAACTGAAGTGAACCCGAAAATGTCCTAATTCCTAGTTTTTAAGAAGTCTGGAAGGCATGACCAAAATTAAGTCAATTTGTAATTCTTAGCACTTGGTATCTGTCTCGTAAGAAGCACAGTTCCTTATAGTGACTATTCTCTGTTGAATGAGTGAATGAATGAATGAATGAATGACTTGTCAACCACATTTCAGTGGCATGTTCAGTTTGTGTACTATGTAATTTTAAACTAATTACTGGATCCCACCAAAAAGCAAAATAGCCTTAAAAATGAAGATCCGGAACAAAGATATGAGATTATGGATACTTTTTATTTTGTTCCTTGTGATTTTATTTACTTTCCAAATTTTCAACAATAAATGTTATGTAGTTAAGTTTTTCAAGATACATACATGGTTAGAATTTATCTTAGGATCAAATATAAATCTCACCTCTAGTAACTAATTTCTCACCTGCGATTCAAACTGAAGAGGCCTTTCTTTTACATTAAAGGCTACTTTTAAAAAACTAATGTAATTATAACCAAATGACATTTCTAGCGTTAATTTAAAAGAAGTAGAATTTTGTCTTAACCTGTAGAAACAACTGATGTTTCTGACACTGAGGCAAAGTAACATCAGTTCCATTTTATAGTGCTGAAAATGTTTATTCTTTCCTGAAAAACAACCAAGTTATTAAATTGAATGACAACTTCCTTATTGCAAATGTAATCAGATTTTTTTATTATTAAATATAATGATCAAAGATGGGTAAAGTTGTGTAAGTCCTCTGTGTAAGTGGGTGGTTTGAGTCTCCCTCTCCAAGTATAATCATATTTGAATGACTTTTAAAAAATGACTATGTTAACTTACAAAAATAATCCCCTGCTCTCCCTGATAGGAACAACATATTGAACTGGGTGAATAAATATTCTGAGCCACTGTGGCAATTGGTAGTTGAATCCTATGACTAATGGTAGTGATTTTTGTCTAGGTGGATCACATGGACTTAGTTATCTGCCCACTGGAATGACACAATGGAGAGATATCTGATGAATATTGTGGAACATCTGTGAATGGATCACAGCTATGCATGATGTGAATCATTCTTCCCTCAAAAATCTAAAGTTTAATGGTTAAAAAATTCCAAACTGTTGTCACATAAACTGAGATTTGGCCTATTCTAGGGGTTAGGAGGGAATGAATACAACACATATTCTAAACTATTTTGCCAGTAAGTTGTTGGCTATGTTTTAGACCCCTAAATTTAGGAAAACCTAAAAATTTATTGAAAGAGATTAGTAAAAGTCTTGGGTCACTGCAAATAGTAAAATATAACTTCTTCAACTGCTCACCACCACCACGGAGCCTACAGGATTTAATAATTTTCTCAATCAGAGTCCTAGATTCCCCTATCTTGCTTTAGTTAAAAGTATGCATAGCATGATGTCTGAGGCACCCCTACCTCCAGAATATCCATGACTCTTAAAAGGACGTTGGGGGAAGCACTGGTATATGACAGTTTTCTTTACTGAATGATCCTAGTGCATATTGATTTCCCTAATTTGAGATTAAAGTCTTTTCTTTAGGGTACTATTAAAAGCAGCTGGAAAAAAAAAAAAAGTAAAACTGTGGGTTTGTGTGGGCCTAGCTAGGTGTGAAGCTGTGGTTTCCTGGATATTGCTAATGTTGTTTTTATAACTCTGTCTGGAAAATTTAACTTACCTGGTTATAGAGATGGGGTGAGGAAATAGGGGGGTAGTTTATGCTTTTATTTCCAACTCCAGGAGTAACCTGCTACCTCTATATGATCTGAAACATATAGCATTGTTTTCAGTTTTACTTTTTTTCTGATACCTTGGTATACCTGGCTTTGCTTCTTTAGATTCCTTGACACTAAAGAAAAAATGAGACGGCTGAAGGTCTACTCACTCAGGGATGTTTACAAATAACAGTATGTTTGTGTGTGTCTTTGTATTTTGTGAAATGTGAGCAAGTTGTGGTGGATATCTTTGCCAATAAGTAATAAACATATATATAGAATTTTACAAATTTTATAATGAGAATTTTTTAGCAGTGGCAAACAGGTCACACAGACTAATTTTTAAGACTGAGGTAATAATCTTCTGAGTTATTATTTCAAGGAATATATATATATCTGTTTGACAGTGGTGTAATCAACAGGGGGCCAACTCGGTTAAAGCAAACAGACCAATGCAGTCTAAAAGAGGCCTACTGCAATCTCTAAATTCTAGACTTTGTGGGCTTTTAAAAAAATAAATCTATAAATGGAAGAAAAAGAATGAAATGTGTGAATGTGATATGTTCCTAACAAAGATTAAATTGATGGAATTTGTCCTACAAAATATCAAAAAATAAATTTGTCCCTATTGTCTTATTTTTAAATAGATATATAATGATTGTTTTGCATTGAAATGTATATTAATACATTTTATCTGATGATATTTTGGGAAGATGAAGTTTTTTGTTGTTTTTTTTTTTTAAGGTAAGCACGAAGAAGAATATACAAATGGGAATACTAATTGTTTAAAATTACCAATAGTTTCTTTTCTGAACTTGAAAACAGTTATGTTTCTAAATATAAGAACAATAATTTTGCCTAAAATTGCAGTATAATGACCAGGACTTCTCTCCTTTTTAGAGAAGCAGTCAAGTGTTTCTGGAACAGATAAGACAGCAGCGATCCAGTGAGGTTGATTCCCCAGAGGAAAGCTATGCATACCTAACTTATTGGAAAGTAAACTACTCTTTAATTAATGATGTCCTCCTTTTCTCAAGGTGTCCAAAGACAGGAAGTGGTCTGTAAAAGATTGGATGACAACTCTATTGTCCAGAACAATTACTGTGACCCTGAGAGTAAGCCACCTGAAAATCAAAGAACCTGCAACACTGAGCCCTGCCCACCTGAGTAAGTAAGAGTAAGAAGTGAGAATTATTTTCTTTAAGAGAAAAACACTTAGCTATTCATATTTGGAAACACATTCATATATAAGGAAAGGGGGATAAAGCATTTTGGAGGGTAGAATTTCGATATCCCTCTCACGAGCAAAGATTCTTATTTATCCATAGGTTTTAGTTATTAATTCCTTTAAAGCAGGAACTTCAGTAGATTGATCCTGGCATAATGTTGGAAATTATCAGATTTCATCTTGGAGATTGAGATTCATCTTGCAATTGATAGTGTGTTACTTACAATAATAATCAGCATTATTTTTATCTTTTTTATGGTCTATAAAATAATGGTATCTTTAAATAATGGTATCTTAAATTCAGTAAAACACAGTAAATTGGTGTGCAGTCATATCTTTTCCAGATATTTATCCTAAAGGTCTAAAGACTCTTAATACGTTTTGGAAACATTCTGTAATGGAATATCAGAGCTTTAATTTGCTGACCCAGTTTTAAGTTCTGTCACCCTAAGTCATCCTATCTTCTGGGTGCTGGGCACAGGCGTAGAGGTGGACTTCAGTCTCATTCTGTTGATTAATGTAGCAGTTACAGCTCACTGTAAAGGGAGGCACAAGCTTACAGCCCATTCATCTTAATGATGACTTTTTAAAAATTTAAATTTAACAATATGGACCTGCTGTCAGTGAGTCACACTTTATAATCTGTAAGAACAGAAAGATTTCTGGGCTGAGCAAAAAGCATGATTAAGGGCCCCTGGCTGACTTAGTTGGTAGAGCATGCAGCTCTTGATCTCAGGGTCATGAGTTCAAGCCCCACGTTGGGCGTAGAGATTATGTTTAAAAAAATTAAAAAGAAAAAAGGCAGTGATTACATGAGAAAAGACAAAGATGCTGAAGACAAAGATACTGAGTTGATCATGATCTTTGTAGGGCTTTTGCCTGTTTGACAACTGCAAGACAGAACATGTGTGAATGGCATTTCATCCTTGTTTGAGAAATCAGGGTAACCATTATCTCCTTGGTTAACTAATTATCCCAATTGGAAATTAATAAGGAAAAAGAATATGCAAATGGATTTATATATCTCAAGTTCTTAGAACTGAAGAGGAAAGCTGTACATGCAGTAACAACAGAGGAATTACAATAAAGGATTTATGTCCCTAATGTGGTTAAAGCAAGATGTGTTCATTATCTTTGTTTCAATACAATAATGCCTTATCAACTTTCATTTCCCAAAGTCAGTGTCTGTCCAGACACTGTCACTGGTAGTCTCTTGAAATAGTTTAGGCCAGTGACTACCAGACAAGGAGCACAAGAAATCTAGAGTGAAAGAAGTTTTTATTCTAGGACCTTTATTTTTTTAAGATGTTATTTATTTATTTGAGAGAGAGAATGTGTGCATGCGCGCGAGAGAGCAAAAGAGCACAAGCACAAGCAGGGGGGAAGGGCAGAGGAAGAGAGAGAAGCAGACTGCCCTGCTGAGCAGGGAGCCTGAGGTGGGGCTCCATCCCAGGGCCCTGGGATCATGACCTGAGCTGAAGGCAGACGCTTAACCAACTGAGGCACCCAGGCGCCCTATTTTAGGACTTCTAAAATTTCATGTTTCTTCTTTTCAAAATGTGATCATTATGTAACTAATTTCTTAAAATCCAGACATGGGAAAGTATAGAAATATGACATGTATTACATGTATGATATGTATTACAAAGACATTTGATTTTTAAAAAATTTTTCTCCTTTCTGCCAATTATTTTTATACATTTAACTCAAAAGAAATGGGAAAACTATATAAATTCTAAAAGCTGCATAAAAACCATGGGCAAAATTTTCTTCCTTCCCATATTTCCAGTAACTTTCAACATTATTTTCATATAATTGTACATCTCAACTCATCAAGTTAATTTCCTGACACTCAGGATTTTAAGTATTATGTTTGGTATTTGATCAGCCATTTAAGACCTCTGAGTGGTCCTGGTCACAGCTGTTCTATTTTAGCTTCAACTTTTTTATTTGTTTCAGCTTAAATGCTACTTGAACGTCCTTTGAGATTGCAGTGGTTTGTCATTCCATGCCATGTATTGTGGGCTTGGATATTACATTGTTTTTGTATTTGTGTGTGTGTGTGTGTATGTGTGTATGTATACATATGTATATGCTATACATATGTATACATATAGTTTAAGGGTAACTGACATTTGAATTAACATATGTAATTAAAATTAAGTTTCCTATCTCCTTTCCTTTTGTAATTCTAAAATAAAAAATTATTTATTAACTTTTTTTGAGTTTGGAGGCAAGAGGATGGAATTTGAAAAAGAGAGATAAAGAGAATATGAAAAAGAAAATTTGGGCTGACTTTTTCAGAAAGTTAAAAATAGATATTTAAAATATTACTATTTATTAGTCCATTTTTTCTTAGTTCCTTTTTAATTTCTTTTTTATTCTTTTGAATTCAGACTATGAAAAGGAAAATCTCAATTCTTCAGAATGGTGGTTGTATATCATAAAATTCCCAGTAGACATTGGTTTTCTAGAAATAAAAATCTTTGGAAGACTACTGAATTCAATAATACTTTAAATGAGTGTGGAAGAAAGGAAAGGAGATAAGTTTTTTTTCAGATGATGATGTGTTAATCATATTTGTTTTTTGTAATACATATTAAAGCATCAAGTTTTTAAAACACAGATAAGTAAAAATAAGAAAATAAAAAATACCTGTAATACTTAAAATACCACTGTTAATATTTTGAAGTATTTATATCCAGTCTTTTTTCTATGTTTACATAGACATATATATATAACAAAATGGTATTATACTATTTCTGATGCTTTGTAGTTAGTTCCCAACATATATTTTTTTAAAGATTTTATTTATTTATTTGACAGAGACACAGCGAGAGAGGGAACACAAGCAGGGGGAGTAGGAGAGGGAGCAGCAGGCCTCCCGCAGAGCAGGGAGCCCGATGCGGGGCTCAATCCCAGGACCCTGGGATCGTGACCTGAGCCGGAGGCAGACGCTTAACGACTGAGCCACCCAGGCGCCCCAGTTCTCAAAATATTTTGAACATTAAATATCTACTATAACATTTAGTAGATATGTCGTTGCTTAATTAATTTGTTTTCCACTGTTGAACAATTTGGGCTGGGTCTTAGATTTTGATCCCTTAAGATACCACAGCATTAACAATTTTTGCTATTAAAACTTTGCTCTCTATATGTTCTTATGGCAAATAAATGGTAATAAAATTCCTTGTTCAAATGGAAATATATTTTAGTCTGTGAAACATTGTCAGATTGTTCTCCAGAGATAATGTATGAATATATATTCCCACTAACAGTGTATTAGAATGTCATTTCCCTGAACTGCACTACACTGGATATTATTATTTTTATTTTATTTTATTTTATTTTATTTTATTTTATTTTAGAGAGACTGAGTGAGCAGGGTAGGGAAAGGGGCAGAGGGAAAGGGAAAAAGAGAGATTCTTCAGCAGCCTCCATGCACAGTGTGAGCCCAAAGCAGGGCTTGATCTCACAACCCTGAGATCATGACCTGAGCCAAAATCAATAGTTGGACACTTAACTGACTGAGCCACCCAGGCACCCCTGGATATTATTATATTAGAAACAATCTTTGATTATGTTATGGGGGAAAAAAAGCCTTGATACCTAATTGTTGTTTTATGTTGTATATCTTGGATTGCAGATGAGACTGAACATTGAAAAATTATGTTCAGTGGCCATTTGTATTATTTCTTTTTGCTTTTCGCCTCCATGGCCTAACCTATACCATTTTTCTACTGAAGTGTTTATCATTTTGTTACTGATTTCTGTGAACTCTTAATGTATTAAGGATATTAATTCTTTTACCTGTTTCAAATATTTTTTCCTACTTTGTCATATATTTTCCATATTATTTATGGTTTTATGATCCATTTTTACTTATAGAAGTCTTAAATATTACATAGAAAAACTATCAAACCTTTCTTTCTTTCTTAGGTATAATGTTTAGGAAGATCGTACTTTCAAAGTTTCTTCTTTTTTTTTAATGTAAACTTTAATCTATTTGAAATATATTTGCCTACTTTGAGGAAAGGATCTATATTTATTTTCAAATTCCCAGTACCATTATTAAAATTCCAAGTGGTATTTTTTAAACAGAAATTATCTTTTTAAATAATGAAATACTTCAAATGTCTCCTTAGTCATATTGGAGACTTTATAAGGAGGGTATGAAAGAATAGAGGGCAGTAAGATTTATCTTTGTGCTTTATAAAGAAAATGATGGGACTGGGAAGAATAGATGAAGAGACATTGGTAGAGAAATATTAATAGTAAGTTTATTTGGAAGACCTTGAAGGGCAGAGGAAGCCTTGCTGGGAAAAAATTAATGTGCTCATAGCAGCAACTCTTTTGTGAGAAACAGTATAGTAGTCAAGATGGTAAAGTGACTAGGGACAGGAAAAAAACAAGAATTCAAGAGGCATTGAGTGAAAATGGTGGGATTCCTGACAAAGGCTTAAATAATTGGAAAAAGGAAAAGGGAGGGGTTGATATTAAAGACCATGACTGATAAGAAGCTAGTGCCCCACCATGAGAAAAGGAAGTAATGCTGAGCTGGAATCCAAAGAGAATGACCAAGAGTTCAGTTTTGACCATGCTATCTTTCTATGGCAAGAATGTTTCTATATATGGCCTCATGTGAAGAATTCTTGGATAGTGAATATTATTCCTGTATGATACTGTGGTTTTTAAAGTTGTGAAAATAAGAGGGGTGAAAACAATAGAGTATTATACATTGTGATAATACTGTGACCACGAACTAAATAACATTTTTTTAAGCAACTGCAATGTGAAAGGCATTGTGTTTTGGGAGAAATGGCTCCCTTGCCTAAGGACAATGTAATTGGGTAAATACATATAAAAATAACTATAGTTTAGGCAAAACATATTCAGCACAATAAGAGAGTTATAAACAAAAGTGCTAAAGGATGCTTGGGCTGGGGAGAAATTTTTGCTCGGGTGTTAGGTTTTATTTCATGGTATCTTTTATGATATAATGTTTAACAATTATATTGAGTCATTGTACCTCACCCAAGGACAACTATAATCTGTTATTTTGAGTTTAGAGGAAGTTTCATCAGAGTCCTCTATAAAATTCCAGAATTTAAGAGCTGGGAACAATCATAGAAATCATGTAGGCCACCTCCCATCATGATGAGAGTATGCTAATCTCTGGTGATGTTTTCTCATTGTACACACATCACTGACATTGTAAGTTACAAATCAAATGTCTGGTGGCACCTAAATACTTACAATACTTAGTACTTGCTTGTTTCATTGCCACAATCTTAATTGTTGTAATTTCAGAGATGTTTATTAAATTCATTTTTTTTTTCAATTTAGAAAAATCTCAACTGTGAAATGTCTAGGGCATAGAGGCTTATACTTGATATTAGTTTTACTTTCCAATTAGCTGAGGAATGAGCAGATTTTCTTTTCTTTTTTACCAACTTAATGTTTAGCAATTTTTTCTAAAACCTATTTTAAAATCTAACAAAGTTCTAGTATCTTCATAAGTAATTAATAGGTTACGTATTTGAATCTCTCTTTGAATAAAGATGTTATTGTGAGATTATGAAGATTTTTTAAAAATTTTGCTATGTTGGGCGCCTAGGTGGCTCAGATGGTTAAGCATCTGCCTTCGGCTCAGGTCATGATCCCAGGGTCCTGGGATCGAGTCCCACATCAGGCTCCCTGCTCCTTGGGAGCCTGCTTCTCCCTCTGCCTCTCTCTCTCTGTCTCTCCTGAATAAATAAATAAAATCTTAAAAAAAATTTTTTTTGCTATGTTGCATTTATTGATAATTAGATGCTTGACACTAGGACAAAGGCTGGGAAATCTAGCTCTCTTTTTTAATCCAAACATCTAATATCAGTTTATTTTCATATGTTCTGCCATTTCCCTTTAAGTTAAAAAGCAAAAATAATATCCCGCTTTTATGCTCGGTTCTTTCTTCAAACATATTCTGGTTAACCTAGGTTTGGGGAAAATATTTTATAATGTCTCCCTTGTTCCTTGCCCCCAATAATATTCTTGTTTGTCCTATTAATGTACAGACACTATGGGTCAAGATTACACAGTCTGCACACACCACTCTTACTTCAGACACTCAAACATGAATTCCACTAGTTGTTAATGTCTAACGGATATGAAGACACTTGTGAGGATGAAGACAATTTGATCACTGGGGAAGAGCTCAGAAAGAAGCATTCCTAGTATTGTTCAGACTGTAACAATTCAGCCATTGATATTTTCAGAGAGAATTTTCGTATTCATATTCTTACCACCAAATCTAGAGTAAATAGGAAGAAGGTCATCAGATGGTCAAATACAATGGCAAGAGTGAAGGTGAAGGAAGTCGTATGTCTTAAACTGGACAGAGGAATAGAGAAAATGCGATGAGTAGATGCAGTGGCAAAATTGCAAAACTATTTAAATAACTCTGGTGTGATTTAATCCTTTAGAGAGACATGGGAAGTGATGATTTGGTGAGCAATAAAGATGGAATAGGGACTGAAATCAGAGTTCAAGTCAGAAGGGAAATTGGGAGGGTGGTTAATACTTCTACTTTCATACATTCCAAATTAAATGCTAGACTGATACATCTAGACTAAGAGATGGTTGGCAATAAAGGAGAGGACAAAGAATAAAAAGGCGGAGGTGGACCTAACCTCGTGCAGCAAAAAACAGCAACACCTCCTGAATCACTGCTGTTACTCTGGGCACCTGTGTTTAATTTGAAGGCCTCCATCCCTCTTACATTATGAGGCCTAATGAGATCATGGCTGGATGTGGTATGACTGGACTTTTTGTGGCTGAGTTCTACACATTTCTGTTTTATCCCCTAATCTTGGTGATGAAATCACTGTTGCGAATTGAATCAGAGTTTCACTATGGCTGGCATGCAAGTTATTATTCTCAGTACACATTTTCCTCTTTACCAAAAATGGTACTAACAACTTGGGATCATGTTCATCTGTGGAAAACAAAATGGAAAGAATATGAATATCACTTTAAATCTCCTCTGGAAAATGACTTAGGAAAAAAAATTAATATCAGATTCTCAGGATTAAATTATCATTCTTTAAGTGAATTTTAGGTTGAAAATTTTTAAGTTTTGGAAAGATGTATTCTAAGTTTGAGAAACTGGTTAATTACAGTATTTCTAAAAGCTGATTTCCCTCCATAACTAAAGATAATACAAATAATAGTGAACAAAGGCGGTTGTTGCCTATTTGGTTAACTACAGGCTCAAATGCGGAACCTAGGATTCTGACTTCACTGTGATGTTATCTCTCACATATAAAACTGGCACAATTAACTAGAGAAATTTGTTCTTAAGCTTTCATACTCTTCTGTCTGGAGAGTCTCTTACCTAAGAGTATGAGCATATCCACTGAGGATAGTTGCATAATTTATAATCACGGATTGGAGAAAATGACTTGTGACCTCATGCTTGTGACCTAGATCTTACTATTTAGCGGAGTTAAAAATGAAATTCAGGGGAGACAGTAACTGCTGGGGGATCTAGTCCTAGTTACAACATTGCTCCTGTCGTGATTTTGGAGAACCATTTTCCTCACACTAATCTTACTTCCTCTTCTATAAAACAAGTGCAATGCCTTGAATATAGTTGGCATTCAGCATATATTTATGAAATTAAATGCAATAATATATCAATCAGTACTCTGGTTGGAAATAACACAACTTCGACTTTAGCTACTTTCTGCACAGAAGAGGGTTTGTTGGTTTACTTAACAAAGCTGAGTGAAGGGCAACGGTGGATCTCATTTAAGGTGGATCTCATTTAAGGAATGGCCCCAGGACTCAAACACCATCAGGGCTCTCTAGCTTCTCTGCATTCTTTCACATCAGCTAATTCCACTTGACAGGGCACAGGGCCACCAGCAGCTCTTGTATCTTTATGCACTTTTGTGACAAGAAGGGAAAGGCCCCCTTTTGCTCTAGTGGAGATAGAAAAATTTTAAAGCCAAATTCTCATTGGTCTGATTTTGATTCACACTTTTTGACCAAATAATGTGCTTCAGAGAGTGAGTTCTGCAGAAGTTTCACATACATACCCACATGCACATACATATACACACCCTGAAATTACATATATATGAAAGTTCATTGATGACGTTAGGGAAAAAGAGTGGTTCACCTATAAACATGAAACATGTTCATTTTGTTTTTGGTTTCTTCCCACGTTAGCTGCTTAGAAGCTGTTTTCAGGAGCAGAGGGATCAAAACAAGGGACCTCCATATTTTCACAGAGCTGGCTCAGACTTTTCTCTTAGTGCAGGTGTTTAAAGACTCCTGCATCTTCAGGATGGATGCCTGGGCTCTCTCTGCCCCTTAAGCATAGTAAAGGCCTTCTATCTTCTGCAGAGCCTGACATTCATTTCCAAAAATCAAAAAACAAATCCCTAGCTCCTTTAATGTGGTTTTAGCACAAAATCCTTGATTATAGGAGAACCTGCCTCAATGTGATAATAAATAAAGCTACTGTTTCTTGTTTGTTGAATATCAGACACAAAATTAGAAGCTTTCAGTGGTGTCCTAAAGCAAGCTAACTGGCTCCTGAAATCCCGTTATTAGCATATCTTCTCTTAATATGTTCAGCATGTCAAGGATGTAAGTTGAAATTGGTGATAGGTATTCACATCACAAAATTGGTAAATGCAACAAATCAAGACCCTTGCCCTCCCATAAAGATCCAGTTGTTAAACACTTAACCAGCACATGACCGGGAGCTTCATATTTATTACTTAATCCTCATGACAGTGTCATGATTTATATTGTTATCTTCATTTTAAAAATTAATTTAGAAAAGGGGAGATATCAATGTGGTTCTTGCAACATATGTTCTTGCATTACTTGTTTGGACCTGACTTCTGTCTGCTCCAAAGCCCACACACTACAGCTGACAGTGTGTTATCTTTTCCTTAGCAGCTCTTCCATTGGTCATTTGTCACATCAACCAACACTGAAATGTCAGCTCTTTTAGGAAGAGAATGTCCATTGATGAAAGTGCTTTCACTCAGCTCAAAATCTCTGGCTACACTGAGGAAATGTCTTTCTGTGTTTCTTCCACTTCTTGCTGCAGGTGGTTCATTGGGGATTGGTTGGAGTGTAGCAAGACTTGTGATGGTGGAATGCGCACCAGGGCAGTGCTCTGCATCAGGAAGATTGGACCTTCTGAGGAGGAGACACTGGACTACAGTGGTTGTTTAACACACCGGCCTATTGAAAAGGAGCCCTGCAACAACCAGTCATGTCCACCTCAGTGGGTGGCTTTGGACTGGTCAGAAGTAAGGAAACCTGAGGCTGTATGTTCTGAGATCCAAAGCATTTAATACTAAGGACACCTAAGCATGTGAACGCCTTAGAATTCAACAAGTAGGACTCAATAACAGTAAATTTGGTCCTGTTTTTTTTTTATTGCTGCTTGTCAGGAAGTAAGGTTTTTTGGGGGTTAGGGAAATCAACGAGAAACTAGACATCAATTTGATTAAAAATAAACCTAAAGTGAATTTGAAAAAATATAATAGTGAGTACTCACGTAAGTGGTTTTTCTCCTTCTTTGCTATTCTTGAGCAGCAAAATAAGCTCAGAATTAGTGATATATCTTTTTTCCCCACATAATGTTGTAGCCTAACTATGTAATTCATACATATGAATATTTATCAATTTTTAATCACATAATAGATATCTAAATATGTTTTAATTGCTTCTATTGCATCTGGGGAAGAAACATGGATTTGAGGGTTATAATATACCAGAAAGTCAAATTCAGATTTTATCATTACCTCTGCTTATATGATCAGTGAGGGAGACCTAAGAAAATGTTTTTCTGACATACATGTGTATAAAAGAGCCTAAAACAATCCAAAGGACTCAGAAAAATGGTCTTATGAAAAATGAGGTAAGGGGTAGAGTTAATTCTTGACTCCTCATTCTGCCTAAGAGATACACATATAAACAGCATACCATTCCACATTTCCCAAAGAAAAGTTAAATTCTTCCGTAGTATTGGTTAATATTAAAAAGAATGAGTACCTGGCTATATAACTAAAGGTCATTCTTCCAATTTAGCAAAACAGGATGCATTTCCTGATGGAAGCATTGTGGTACTTGCTTTGGGTATTTCCTGTAGACTTCATAAGTTTGTAAAAAATAAATAAATAAATAAACAGAAAATATACATTGTTCTTTAGGAACCCCCTGGATGTAACTTTTCCCCCTCTGAATCTTACTTCTAGAGTGGCCTTATTTTACTAGAGGCATGGGCCTAAAAGAGGGACTGTGTTTAAGATGGTACATGGAAATGGGAGATTCTGACCAGTTGTGATTACCTATGGAATCTGTGGTGGGATTGGGAGGGTTCTTCCAAGTTTCCTGGCCAAACTCCAGCTTCAGTAATTACATCTGCCTACCTAACTTTTGTGTTTCAATCAAATGTAGAGATATTCTTGGTATTATTCACTGGATGGTTATGGAAAACAGTAGGAACTCTTCTGTCCCTTAAAAGTGGGTGGATTAACTCCTAAATTGATTTGGAAGATAAAACCTACTGATAAAGAATAGACATTCTACAGAGTTGTACATATGTTGGTAATTATTCTACCTGAAATTCAGTGCCCAAGACCCTCATAGAAGTTCATAAATATTGAGAATGATGACAAATTTGTTATTGGAAAATCATAATGGAAGACCTGACATTTGCCTTCAACAGTTTTAGGGTTTTAGGTCAAGCCCCTACGTCTAATTCAGTGCTAACTAAACACACGCACTATGAATAATACAAAGGAATCCTGTAAGCTTGGGAAAGTAGATGTCCATGAAACAACTAGAGAATAATATAAGGTAGTGTTAAATAAAATGGTGGATTGTGAGGTATAAATGTGTAAGTGATATAGAAATTTAGAGCTGAGAAGGTCAGAATAGACTGAGGTAGGATCAGAGAGCTTTTTGCTTGATAGGAGTTAAACTGAATGTTGGAATATGGGATATGAAATAGGGAAGAGAATAGAGAAACTGGAGAAGATATTCCTGATGGTAGGATAGAGTTATTTATTCAGTTACTTATTGAACAACTGAACATAAACACAAAGATCTTATGGTGAAAGTAGGGTGGGGAAGAGGGTTTGTTTTAAAGAATAAATGGAAAATAAGATTGAGTAAAGTAGTAATAGATAATAAGAAGGATTGAATACAGAACCTTATATGCATCATCTTTCTACCAAAAGTGGAAAAAAGTAGTTAAATTCATAAGCAGAAACAAGAAGAAATTTCTGCCAGCCATGAAAACACTAAAATTACATGCACAGATTTCACATTGATCTCTTGATCTAAACTTTTGTATGTCATTATATTTTTATTTTAACATAAAACAAATATAATCACCTTGAGAAACATGGCATATGTATGTTTATTGTATGTTTCCATTTCAAATACCATTTTAAAGTTTTCTTCTGAAATCAACCTCATATAGGTTGTAATTACCCTGCCCTTCGAATTCTGATTCTTGTTTGATTGTTTGTTTGTTTGTTTTTAGAGAGTGAGAGAGTGTGCATGCGTGCGTGCGAGTGGGGCAGAGAAGGGCAGAGGGAGAGGAAGAGAGAGAATCAGAAGCAGGCTCCACACCTAGTGCAAAGCCCTACATGGGGCTCCATCTCAGGACCCTGAGATCATGGTCTGAGCCAAAATCAAGAGTCAGATGCTTGGGGCGCCTGGGTGGCTCAGTGGTTAAGCGTCTGCCTTCGGCTCAGGTCATGATCCCAGGGTTGTGGGATCGAGCTCCGCATCGGGCTCCCTGCTTGGCCAGGAACCTGCTTCTCCCTCTCCCACTCCCCCTGCTTGTGTTCCCTCTCTAGCTGTCTCTCTCTCTCTCTGTCGAATAAATAAAATAAAATCTTTAAAAAAAAAAAAAAAGAAGAGTCAGATGCTTAACCAACTGAGCCACCCAGGCACCCCTAGAATTTTGATTCTCATCTATCCACTCTTAGAGGTGACTTGCTCAAATAGCTCTGAGAGGCTCTTAGGCATTCCTGGAGGCTGCCAAAAGAAACATGAGTAAGTTAGGTGGGTTTTAATCACATTTCTGCTACCTTCAAGATAGCTAAGTCAGGGGCTCCTGGGTGGCTCAGTTGGTTAAGCATCTGACTCTTGATTTCAGCTCAGGTCACGATCTCTGGTTTGTGAGATCAAGCCCTGCATGAGATCAAGCCTGTGTGGGCTCTGCGCTGAGCGCCAAGCCTACTTAAGATTCTCTTTCTCCCTCTCCCTCTGCCCCTCCTCCCACGCACCCCAACCCCCACAGCAGCTCGCATGCGCACGCTCTCTCAAAATAAATAAATAAATAAATAAATAAATAAATAAATAAATAAATAAATAAATAAATAAAATTAAAAATGAATTTAAAAAAGATAGCTAAGTCAAAGCTTAGGAGAAAGAAGCAGTGCGGGGGGGTGGGGGCGGTGTGGTACGCACGTGTTGGGACTACCACTTCAAGTGAAGTAAAGCATTGGTGACTGTTGTCTCTTCACAGGCAACCCGAGAAAACTGTTCAGGGGTAAGCCTAGGTCAAGAAATGCTGCCCTTATCGTCGCAAAGATTCTAGTTGAACATTATCTGTACCATCATCTTTATTCTTTGGGTCTTTCTCAGGAAAAAGGAGCTAAGTTTTATGCCATACAGTCTTGCCTATTTATTTTCCAAAGGAGTGGTCCACTCTCACACTTCCATTTCTTTACTCTTCTAGGAAGTCCACTTCTTCCCTAGATGGGTTAAAAATAACGAAAGTAAATAACATTAAGTGAAATAAGTGTCTGAGTAGCTATGGAGACCAAAGTGAGAACAAGGAGCCTGTTCAGCCTAGAGGAAAGGAGTACCTCCCACTAATGAAAAGAGGAGGTCCTAGCAGCTGAGCAGGGAATGTTCGATCTTTTTTAGTTAACTGCTACAAATATTTCACGCAATATTCTTTTGACACGCCCCTGGAAACTTCCCTCCTTTTCCTGCTCCTTCCCCACTGCCAACTATCAGCTGTCTGAGCTCTGCTAATCACAAGGGTGAGGTTCAACTGGTGAAAACATGTTGCAGCAAGAGGAATGTACCCTTTGACCTTTTCCTTTTCTTTGCCGGCCGCTCTAATATAAAATTTCCATTGTTCCAAAGCCAGGAACCGTTTTTCGTTTTCCCCATCAGTGAAACCCACCCGGTGATTATGGCAAAAGGAAAAAAAAAAAAAAAAGCCAAATTACCTTGGTGGAAAATGGCTCTTCAGCAATCTTTTGTGAAACTAATGAAGCCACGGCTTTCCCATTTCCTATAATCTAGCTTCACTCTTGGGATCACCCGTGCTGTGTTGGACTTAAATGGTTTTTTCTTTTTGCCCTCTCTTGGCAAATAACTTTTAAAAGCATTGCTGCATACTGTGGATGGGCTCCAGCAATCCTAAGCCATTCTTTTGATGTATTGGAATAGTTTCTTTTGACTCCCACAGAGTAGCCACTGAAAAAGGTCTGTTTCTTGTACTTACTCTGGCATCACACTCAATTGCTTTTATAGGACTTACATTCAGGTAGCATTACCTAAGAAGGAATGAGGGGGGAGCGATGGAAAGGGTGGAAAACCTACCTACAGGGGACTGTGCTTTGTTTTCGAAGACAGTGGTGACATCACCTGGCTTATTCCTAGGTTCTACTCTGGTGTTCTAACGAAGTGAATTAAACCTACCTCTCTGGAGAGAACTCAGTCTAACCCCAAACTGTTAACATTTCTATCCTTTACAAGTGAGAGCCAAATTGTTTTCCCTGGTGAGGTTTCAAATACTTTTCTCTGCTAAATATGTTTTTGCTTTTTAATCATTGATCACTAAAGCTAATGCATAAATGCATCTGTCATAAAAATTACCTCCTATATCCCACTGAGTGTGAAAACACAAACCAAATGTTCTGGTCAGATTTTAAAGTATTGTGAAATTTTGATTATATGAATGAATAGGAAAAATAGGTATTTACCTGCAATAAAGAAAAGTAGTGAGAAATAATTTTACTAAAGAATGGATTGTCCACTGAAGTAGTATCTTCCTATAAGATATATAATAGTATCTTCCTAAATGTTGCCAGCATGGAGAACTAATCATAGCTTAAAATACTAAAATTGAATTTCTTATCTATCCTACGTGTTTTTGCCTATCTCCCTAAAGTCAGAAATACTCTTCTTTTCGTACTTTATCTCAATTTATTTTTTAATAATTATTTTTATTTTATCTTAAGATTGTTTATTTATTTGACAGAGAGAGAGAGAGCGAGAGCAGGAGCACAAGCAGGGGGAGTGGGAGAGGGAGAAACAGGCTTCCCGCGGAGCAGGGAGCCCGATGCGGGGCTCGATCCCAGGACCCTGGGATCATGACCTGGGCCGAAGGCAGACGCTTAACAACTGAGCCACCCAGGCACCCCTATTTTTTAATAATTAATTAGTATTTCTTGTGTGTTCTCATGACTTTGTTTCTGCTGATGCTAAGAGCTATAGTGTGGATCAGAAGGCCTAGGATTTAGTTCCCGCTCTACCAGCTACCTATAATTTATTGTGAGAATGAATGGGATGGATTTTGATGTTTATAGCTATGCTTTCATCTAAAAAAATGAATTTTATTACTGAACTAAGTATTCAGTATCTAATTGTTACCAATGAATTTTAGTGTGTGGTAAAAAATATGTAAAAATATACCCTTTATGGGGGCAGAGACCAATGATATTTCTGAAGAATGCTCTGAAGCACTTATAATTAAGTTAATACCTATTAATCATATACATAATCATGACTACATCTTGCTTTCCTAAAATTTCTTATTTTTTTAGATAGTAAAATAAAACTGGAGCTGTCAGATGGATAAACATATTTATCAGAAGGCTAGAGAGATGAAATGTAGGCTATATAAAGCAGAAGGAAGAAGTAAAAATAAAAACAAGCTGAGGGACATCTCTGCTTAAACATCTCTGACGTAAGGTCAAAATAATTTGCTGGATAGAGTTCTCCTCGAATGAAGCTGGTCTAAGTGTCATCCCTATGCCCTTACTGTTTTTTTTATAAGGAATTTTTAAACATTTAATTTAATTTTTTTAAAAAGATTTTATTTATTTCAGACAGAGAGAGAGAGAGAGACCATTAGCAGGGAGAGGGGCAGAAAGAGAAGCAGGCTTTTGGCTAAGCACGGAGCCCAATGCGGGGCTCGATCCCGGGACCCTGGGATCATGACCTGAGCCAAAGGCAGATGCTTAACCAACTAAGCCACCCAGGTGCCCCTAAACATTTAATTTATAATCTCCCTTAAGAAGTACAATATTTGCAGAGAGCAGAGTTGAGGCTTTGGCCACAGACATGTAGTATTTATGACTAGATCTGCAGGGATCAGGGCCGGTGTATTTATTGAATCAGAAACTGGCAGAAATGTAGTTTTCAGTCATTCATTATTTTGAGAATCCGGTTGATTATCTCTACTTCTAGTGCGATGGGATGGAATATCCTTAGCTTATTTAATGGAGTTGGGCTGTAATTTTCTAAAATTATTTTTTGCCTCAGCAGAAGTTGTCATTGTATGCTGCTCAGTTTTGTGTATAATCACATGTTGTCCCACAGAGAGTTTGTGTCTCTGTACATTTACATTTCAGAGCTTTGTTCTGGTAGAAACTTGCTACCTGGATTTATCTGTAAATCCTTCTCAGTGCTTCAGTTTCTCACCTGTAGAGTGGGTGTGAAAATAGTACTTCATAAGGTTTCTGTGAGGATCAGGTAGAGTATGACATGCAAAGTATTTACAACACTGCCTGGTGCTTAATAAATATTAGTGTTGCTTTCTCTTTTTATTCTTCTCCCTGTTAATACCAGTGTTACTTGTTTTGGTTTGGTTTTGGTTTCCTGGGCACTTCTAGACACAAATGAATGAATTGTCTATCATTGCATTGTCTGGCTCCCCTAATTGTAAGCAGGACTTTGGCATAAGCTCTTAGCAAAGACTGCTAGATATTACCACATTATTCAAATAATAGCAGGAGCTTCTTGCTACTGGAAAAAGATATCCAAATAAGCAGACGGCATATGTCCCCAGCTTTAATATACATATATGTGCTTTTAAAATGTAAAGGGAGAGGGCAGTGGCACAAGTGTATTTATTAATAAATGTTGCCAATATGTAGAACTAATCACAGCTTAAAATACTAAAATTGAATTTCCTATCTATCCTACATGTTTTTGCCTATCTCCCTAAGGTCAGAAGTACTCTTCTTTTCGTACTTTATCTCTTATTTTTTAATAATTAATTAGTATTTCTTGTATGTTCTCATGACTTTGTTTCTGCTGATGCTAAGAGCTATAGTGTGGATCAGAAGGCCTAGGATTTAGTTCCTGCTCTACCATTTGCTATCTGTTTCACCTTAAGTTGCTTAAGCTTTCCTTATCTGTAACTGTTCTCAAAAACTTGTATGAGAATAATGTATTTGAAAGTGTTTTGTGAACTGTGAAATGCTAATGAAATGTCAGGTTAGTAGTGTTATTTTTTTTTCTTTTTTTTTTTTTTTAGAGAGAGAGAGAGAGGCAGAGGGAGAAGCAGGCTCCCCGCTGAGCAGGGAGCCTGATGACGGGACTCGATCCCAGGATCCTGGGATCAAGACCTGAGCCGAAGGCAGACGCTTAACCATCTGAGCCACCCAGGCGCCCTAGTAGTGTTATTATTGATGATAATATTAAGCATTAAGAAAGTGACAGAAATCCTCTAAAGCTTTGGCTTCTAACACTGGTGGATGGTGGAGGAGACTTGGGGTAAAGTCAGGAGGACTAGACACAAGTGGGAATCAGGGCTTTATTAATTCTACAGAAGACATGATTGCAGGAGATGATTGCATGTCTTGGATTCTTGAAAAATGAAGTGTTGGGATTGTTGTGATGGTTCCATGAGATAATAATTGCAAAGTACATAGTGTAATGCCTAACATCCAAGAGACAGTAGGAGTTAGCATTAGGTCTGCCATTTAATAGCTGCATGACTTTCTACCACTTCTCCTGACCGTTTCCTTATTTTAAAAACAGCGTAATAATTGCCATCTGACAGGATTTTTGTGACGACTATGTAAATTACAGCACTTAGCACAACACTTGGTATATACTCTGTTTATTAAATGGTAGCCGCTATTATCATAATTCTTCTTAGTAGTGGCTAACTAACGGAAGTGACAGCAGCATTGCCATTGTGTGTGGCACTGGGCTGGCACCGGAGAATACCGCCCGTGAGTGTGGAGAGGTGAATCTGAAGAGGTAAGCGTAGCCTTCCTAGCAGGGTATAGCAAGCATATTTAGAGTTTGAATTTTTATCTTGAAGACAATAGCAAGCCATTGAAGGATTTTTTTTTTTTTTTTTGGGTGTTTTTGTTTTAATCCCGAGAGCATATAATTGGATTGGTGCTTTGGAGAGTGAACTGAGGTAAGAGCAAGAAACAGGAGACCTGTTAGAAAGCCAGGGCAACATTACATGAAGGAAATGACGTTTGTCTGAAGTAAGGTTAGTGACAGTGGAGACAGAGAAAAGTCAACAGATGTGAGAGAGGTGTAGGGGCTCCACACTCAGCAGGGAGTCTGCTTGAGGATTCTCGCTCCCTCTCCCCTGCGTCCTCTCTCTCTCCCTCCAAAATAAATAAATAAATCTTTTTTAAAAACTACAAGCTCCTGGAAGGTAGAGATCATCTTATTCCTTTTTATATCCCCTTCTCTTCAGTGTAGTGTAGCTCTTGCAGTAGATCTGGAAAATTTCTTTTTCTTTCTTTCTTTTTTTTGAATGAAAGGTATAGAAACAGGGTTTCCAAATGTTATGGGTAAGGTCGTCACTTGACTGAGAGGAAGAACAGATTTTAAGGAAGGGTTCAGACATGCAGGGGAGAAAGTTGGAGACTTTAGTCAGTCACCATGTTTAATAGGTGACTCTAGAAAGAGAACATTCCAATTAACGTGGAGAAGAGGTAAATAATAGACTTTGTGACATCTTTTCCTCAGTATGAAGATCAGACTGGTCCAACTAAAGAATAGTCAAATTCATTATGTTTTGGGAAATTCATTATGGACAGGGGAAAGTCCAGAGATTTTCTGTGCAATAAACCTTCACCAATGGCCATGTATTCTTAGTTACCACACTCTAAGAAAACACACCTCAGTCAACCTCTAGCTTGCTTCACAAAGACGAGTTCTCATGGTCTATGAATAACATAAGGATTCTTTTCAGAAGACTACACCCAGCAAGTAGGAAACCAAGGATTCCACATTCCAAAAATTAGCAGAATCTTATCACAGCTGAATGTGGCCCAAGGATAGGGAGGAATCGAGGAATAAACCTACCCACAATAAAAGAAGAAAATAAGTTAGCCAAGAAAAGCAAACTTTGGGTTTAGCTCTTCAAGTCCTTAGGGAAAAAGATAAAAGTACTTCTGCTTAAAAACTTAAGGAGTTTTCATATCTGAAAGACTTTGCCCCGAATTTAGTGTATATACATATTGTATACCCAAACACATTTACTTCAAGAAAGACTTTCCTCCAATTTTCCTCTATCTTTAGAACACCATTATTCATTAGTATTTGTTTCATTTCCAGTGCACTCCCAAATGTGGTCCAGGATTCAAGCATCGGATTGTTCTGTGCAAGAGCAGTGACCTCTCTAAAACATTCCCAGCTGCACAGTGTCCAGAAGAGAGCAAACCCCCTGTCCGTATCCGCTGCAGTTTGGGTCGCTGCCCTCCTCCTCGCTGGGTGACTGGAGACTGGGGCCAGGTAAGGCAGTTGGACTGGGGGGCTCCTGCTGAAGCAGCACCTTGAGATCCTTGAGTTTCCTGACCGGGTCATTATGAGGGCTCAAGAGATGAGTAATACTGCTGAGAAATCTAGGTATGAGATACAAGTATGAAAAAAGGCACATGCAGGAGCCGCCACACATAGACTAAGTAGCTGTGTCTCTCCCACCCCCACACACTTTCGACTTCTACCTACTCCTTGGATCTTAACATTTTAACTTAGAATGGAAAAAGAAGTAGTCTATATGGCCAGATATTTGAGCAAGCCAACAAAACTTTGGATTCTAGTTCCATCTCCCAACTACTTCAAGAACGAATCAGTTAATACCAGTGTCTTAACTTTCCCACTTGCAAAGTAGCTCCTCTTAACTTCACAGAAAAGGTATGGGGATTAGGTTGATAACCTGATTGACAGTATTTGCAATACTATTAAGATTTATTCTTCAGTGGGTTTATCTGAGGGACATCATGAATTGGGAAGCCGGTATATAGGGCTTTTCATATGTATTTTTATTAGACTCATTTTATGTTCTAACTTACATTTTTTCTTTCTTTAGTCTCACTTACTTTTAAATTGTGTTATATTGCAGAAGGCCACCTTAAATCCTTTTAAAACAAATTGGTATATTTGAATACAAGGAAAATTGAGTATTATTCCTTTGAATGTCAAAAAGGAAATCTATTAGGTTACATTAAAAAATAATGCTCCAGAAAGTAAATTTCTAGACAGTTATTGCCCTTTTCCTGTGGTCTTATAATTAACCTTGTAGCTAGTTGTTTCCTAAAATCTGAGACCCAAATCATGGCACATAACTATACCGGTATGATTTTGTGTGTGCTCTGGACTGGACCTGCCATTACTTCTTAAAAATGGCATTGCATAGAAGTAGTTAGTAAAATTCTGGCCAAACTTCAGTATTTCTAGAGTATAGCAGTATCTGCAGACCTCTTTCATTACATTTAGGCAAGGGCAAAAGATTTTCAGTCTCCATTAAGGCAAATAAATATACTTGCTTTGTGCTCAGTCAGCCTTGTGGGTAAACAAAAAAAAGTTTGATCATAAAATAGTTAACATTTGCATTTGTATAACAAATAATTAATAACTTGCATTTGTATAGCAGTATTTAATTTATAAAATACTTACGTGGAATACACATGATAAGGTTAAGCATTATAAGCAATTATGTGTGTCTCTGTGGAAGTGTAACTCTTTCATAATATGGAATTGATATGCTATTAAAGAATCAGTACAGACATGCTCTCCTAATTTTTATTTAAACCAGGTAGACGTTTCCTTCCTTACATACTCTTTGTTGCAATGCACTATTATATAAAGTTATTATATAAAGGTCAGTTGAAAGTTTTTGCATTTTAGTGATTTTCCCAAATTTACAGTAATCAATTTCAGATTATTCTTTTAAATATTGTCAAGTCCTTTTCTTCTCATCTATATTTTAAGTTCAGTTTCCTAAAATTAAAATTAACTGGTAAAAATACATTGTCAAGGATGCTTTAATACATTTTTATGGTCCATTTGTTTGTCATTTTGTATTTAAACATTTTTTTAATGAATGAGTCTATGAATATCCTTGCAAGTCCTATAAGTGCTTTGAGAGTTTTTTCAAATAAATTCAATGGGGCCTCAGTTTGTTTACCTTGTAAACATCACCATCACCTGTCTTGGCACTGGCTAGCTCATCTCCTTGATCCCAAGTCTCACAGCTTTGCTGGTATTCTGGGTGGCAGGCCCAAAGGGTAGACCCCGCTTCATTCTTCAGCCTGGACAGCTGATTAGTCCCAGCTGAAACTAAGTCACTCTGAGAGTAACTTCAATTCTGAAGTAACTGAATTACTAAGTAGATGAAAAAGGAGAGAGAGACATGCTACTTGGTTCACATTTGTGTGACTGACAATACCTGAGAAAACTCAAGGTACTTATTTAAGCTCTTTTTTTTTTTAAACTGGTCCCTGTCACCATCCTGCACAGCAGTCACTGCTCTTACACTGAACTCACATTTTGATCAGATTCACAGCGCTCCAGTAAACCATCAGATTGCTTGCCCATAAGCCTATAATAAATAGGGAGCACAAGGGATGTCCAGCATTAGAATCTCTAATTATTACCCTACTTCATCATGAGGATTTTCTTACTATACTCCTGTGACAGTTCACCTGCTTGGAACTGTTAGAAAAATAGCCCAAGAAATCTCTTGTTTCCTGGGAATGATATTGCTTCCATTTTCTAGGGTCATCACATGATCTAATAATTTCTAAACCAATTCTAGAGGAGAATGACTTAATCATACACCTCTCAAGGATGAACTTCACATGGGCTTTAAAAGCTGATGTATATATGGTATTTGAAAAGATAGAGTATCTTTTTACCTCCTGAAAATCATTGAGATCAGTATTTTGTTTCTGTCTGTGTCTTTGGGTTTAGTGTTCCGCTCAGTGTGGCCTTGGCCAGCAGATGAGGACTGTGCAGTGTCTCTCCTACACTGGACAGGCATCTGGTGACTGTCCAGAAACTGTTCGGCCCCCATCGATGCAGCAGTGTGAAAGCAAATGTGACAGTACCCCCATTTCCAATACTGAAGGTGAGTTTCCCGTGGAGAAAGGGCCTGTGGCCCCTAGTGACCCACATGTACTGGTTCCCAGGGTTTGAAGAGCCCCATAAAGCCACCGTTGTAATGTGGTTTGTATAGAGCTTTTGTGAAAGCTGCATGTTTACTGGATGTGATAAGGAAACCTGCATTTTTCCCCCCCGACTCTGACACTAACTACATGACCTTGATAAGTCACTTAACCTTTCTGGAGCTAAGTTTGCTTATCTATACAATGAGAGATTGGAGTGGGTGACCTCTAAGGTCACATCCAACCTAGCATTCTGTTTGACTTGTGCCAAAATAGAGCGATAATTTCTAATGAACCACAGTTTGAAGTGAAAACTTCTGTTTCTTTTTGGATAGAACAATGGATCTCTACCATCATGAAGATTAAAATTCATGCTTATTATACATATAATGAAAGCATATGTTTGAAACTATTTGTGTTTCAAATGCTAATTTTCTCATTGTAGAAAAGAAGAAAAAGATAATTACGTAGCTGTTTATAGAGGAAGACAAAGGTCTTTGGGCTCTGAAATTTCTCTTATGTATTGGGCAATCTGTTTATTAATAGCAGATGCCAGCCGAAATCCTGAATTTTCTTATATCTTATTTCAATAAATATATCTTGCCTATTCAGTTAGGCATTCATTTAAAATTTCCTGAATGCTACTATATAAGAAACACTGTAACAAAATCATGGGAAGTATAAAGACAAAAATGGCATAGTCAGGAAATTCAAACTGCCGTGTCATATGAAAATAGAGCCATGCTCAAATACAGCACAAGAACATCTTGAAGCTACTAACTTAAATTATGTAGGAAACTCAGTTATAGGGCTCTGCTTAAAACAAAAGTAGAGAACTATCCTGAACATAATTTGTTAATATTTTTCAAATGAAAATTATGTGCTCATGAACCTATTAAGAAGAGATCTATTCCCTTTGACCAAATGTATCCGGCTTAAAGGATTTTTAAAAAAATTACAGTCACTATTTTAAAATGTTTCCTTAAGAATTTTATTTTAGGAGGAGCAATCATCTTGTATGACAGGATGCAGAGAACTTGCGTCTTTGCAAATGTACTGGTTTTTATATCTGAGCCTCAACACAATATCCTTACTGTATAATTTACTCTTTCAGATAAATACAGCCTTATCCTACACCAATTCAAAATCACGATTTTAATTTGCAAAATCTCTGGCTCTGATGTCATCTACTTTTTTGTCCCTTTGATAAGGGACATTCTAGAAATCTAGCTTTTCTTCTCTTAAGAAAGACTCAAAATCCATGACAAACCAAAGTATTTTTCTTAGCAAAACAATCTCTTTTCAATGATCTAAATAAAAATATCTCTCTTGTATAAGACCAGCAAACAACTTTATCTATTATAAATTATTAGCAAATAATCACACGGGTCTGGAGGTCCATTTTTCTTTCTGAGGTGGAAGATAAAAGGTTGAGGTGGAAAAGAGGATATAACTGTCATATTAAATTACTGTGTGTTGGATATTATGGTAGGCCCTTTATATTTATTACCCGCCTTATATATCTCATAGATATTAATATCTGTGTACGTGTGTGTGCGTGCATGCACATGCATATTATAATTATGACAAGAACCTTCCAAGAGTTGGTATCACTGATGAGGAAACTGAGGCACAGAGAACGATAGTAACTTGCCCAAATTATAAGGCTAGGAAGTAGTGACTTAGGATTTGAACCCAGATTTGGCAGAGCCCAAGGACATGTCAGTTTCAACTACATTTTTTTGCTATTCTTAATTCACTCTTTAAGTAGGGTATTTTAACATGAAAACAGAGCTTCTGATTGTAAAGTAGCAACACTTCTAGCATGACCGTCGTCCTGAGTCAAAAGATTCGGGCTCAGTCATTGCTGAAACAACTGGCTTTTTAACATACCCACAGCAATATATATGTTGAAATTCTGTTTATAGCTTCATTTTAGGCGTTTTAGTAATTCCCTCAAAAGATTTTCTATGGTGGCTAATTATTATACATAAGCTTCACAGTTGGAGATGCAAATTTTTCAGGGTGGGCAAAATATCATTTGCAACTGGACTTACTTCTGCCTTAAAGAAATTCTCTTAAGATGGATAGGTGTTAATCTGAGGTTTTTTGAATTATTTGGAGAAATACCTCATGGTCATTTAATCTGCCTGGCCAAATCACTTTTTATTAATATTAATTTGAAATAAGCAGTTAACACAGTATTTTTAGCCTTCTTAGTAAAGGAGGAAACTTTTAGGAAATTATTAATTCCTGCAAAATATGACTAATCTTAGAACTATTATTCCCTAAAGCTGCTGACTCATTGAAAAGAAAGAGGATCGCTCTTACAAAATTAGATTTGAAGTGGGTATGTCTGTCATAACTTGTTTTGTGTTCTCTTTGGCTTCCCAGTAGCATATATTGAATACATTTAAATACCTGAAACTATCTATTCATTTCATCAGCAGCTAATTATTGAATGCTTGTTGTGGCCAGCTTTGGCCATTCATTATAGAAAATTCAAGTGCATTTATAAGTTCATAGTCTTACAGGGAAGATACTTAAGAAAAAAAAAAGGAAGGTAGAAGGTGTTATGTGGAGCAGTTGACATAGTGCTATGAGAGTTGAAATGGAAGACCAATGACTTTAACCTTTTAGATCAAGACAAGCTTCATAGACTAAAGTGGTCTGTGAACCAGCTGTAATATGTAGTTGGAAAAATAACCAAGTGTGTGCCCTGGGAAAAGAGGATGAAATGGTTGAATTAAATCATAAATTGTCATTCATAAAGATATGAAATGGGCAGATAACATGGATTTCAAAAGAGAAGAGGTTCTTGCATGAAATTAATATGAGTAATCTTATATGACTTCTGGGGGTCGCCTGGGTGGCTCAGTCAGTTGAGCATGTGCCCTCGGTTCAGTCATGATCTTGGGGTTCTGGGATCGAGCCCCTCATTGGGCTCCCTGCTTGTCCCTATCCCTCTGCCTTTCCTTCCTGCTCATGCTCTCTCTCTCTCTTTCTCTCTCTCTCTACTCAGTTCTCCGGCTTCATAAGCCATTCCCATGATACCAGGACACACCCTTGCAGATGACAATGTTCAAGGCCAAATAAAAGATGTTTTTTTTTAAAAAAAAGATTTTATTTATTTATTTGACAGAGAGAGACACAGCGAGAGAGGGAACACAAGCAGGGAGAGTGGGAGAGAGAGAAGCGGGCTTCCCGCGGAGCAGGGAGCCCGATGCGGGGCTCAATCCCAGAACCCTGGGATCATGACCTGAGCTGAAGTCAGACGCTTAACGACTGAGCCACCCAGGCACCCATAAATAAAATATTTTATAAATAAATAAATAAATAAATAAATAAATAAATAAATAAATAAATAAATAATACAACTTCTGAAAATCAGACCAGGGAGAGAAGAAATGCCTGTTACTAAGGGAGAGTTGGGAGACAAATCTGGTACTGGGGGAAGGAGTAGGCTCTGGTTACTGCAGGAGAGTAGAAGACCCCCTTCTTCCCAGCAGAATCAGGTTCTCTTGACTGTTAGTGGGAGGCTACTAAGTAACTAGCTCAGCTCTACCCGAAGACAGAGTAGGACTAAGGGAGATCCCTTAGGATCTAAAATACATGGGGTCTCTGTGGGTGAAATGGATAGAATCCTGAGAATTGTTTTAATAGCCACAGTTTGGGAATTGGTTCCCATTCTAACATTTTCTTATGAAAATAATAAAAAGTTTCAAACATAACAGCAAAGTTGAAAGAATTGTACAATGAACACCCACCATCTGGATTCCAGCATTAATATTTTCCTGAGCTTGATTTATCACATATATATCTATCTGTCCATCCTTTAAGGTAATGGTTTTTAAATAATGTGCTCCATTCACCCAACCATTATTATTTACTTAATAAATGTTACTGACTATGTGCCAAGCACAGAGACTATGAAAGGAATATGACAAGGTCCTTGTCCTCAGAGGGAGCACAGTTTAGTGGGAGTGGCAGCAAATAACTTTCACAATATGGGCAGTACTCTAACAGAGTAGAAAGAAGTCACCATGAGTACACAGAGGAGGGGGTAATCAGCAGAAGCATCATGGAGAAGGCAAGCTTAAGTGGGGCACTGGAAGGTATGAAACAATTTGCCAAGAAGACATGGAAATGCTGGGCATTCCTAGCAGAGGACGAGTATGTGCAGTCATGGGGGCATGGAGGTAGCTCAGTATGGGAGCAGTGGGTTGGCAGATGAGCAGGCAGTGGAGATGTGGCTACAAAGAGAGATGCAGGGACTTGGTTTTGGAGGTTCCTGCATGCAGTGGAAGACAGGACTCTATAAGTTCTGGAGAACAAGTGAAGGAAATTGGGGAGTGACATGCTTGGGATGGCAGGCATGTGAAGGGGCAGGGAGAGGTCAACCTTGTGTGGATGAAGAGTCCAGGCTTGAGATGATGAAGGCTTGAACTAAGGCAGATATAGTAGAAATCAGAAGGAGAGTAATGAATTAGAAAAAAGAATAAAATGGAAAGGAGAATAAAAAGAACCTGATGAACAATCATACATGGGGATGAGAGATTTGGAGGTGTCCAGGATGACTCCCATTTAGATTTTGGTTACTGGGTAGTATAAGTCATGATAAGGAATTTAGGAATCTATAAGGGAGTTAAGCACATTCATCCCCAAAAGCCATAATAAAATAATGGAATTTGAGTAAGATTTTTCAAAATAAAAATGAAATAAACAATGGAAAGAGATTGAAGAAATGGAGGGGGGTTAAAACAACAAGAATAATAAGAGAATGAAACTAAGAAGTGGAGCATCAAGATATTAAAAATAAATAGTAAGAGGGAAATAAGAAAAGTAAGAAGGGAGATACAATTTGCCATATTCAACATTGGCTTTAGTTTTTAATTCTTGAAAGCCTTCAGTGAAGAGTTAAAGCATTATAGACTTGATTTTGACAGACCGCCATCATGAAGGT